CTTCCGTCCCCTCCTCTCTCTCTCCTCGATGTGGCAGCATCTACAAGGTGCACGCCGAAAACAAGGACAAGGACTTTGAGCTGGAGCTCTCGTGGCTCTGTCCGCAGAGCAAGATGCTCTTTGCGCCCGTGCCGCCGGCGCTTGTTGCTGTGAGTGTTGTTGTGTGTGTTTTGTCTGCCGGCTGCCCCTCTGGCTGGCCGGCACTTGCGAAAGTGAAGGAGGGAACAGATAAGCTGACTTGTTTGCGTGCCACCTCTTTCGGCGCAAACAGGAGGCGGCTCAGAAGGCCAAGGATGCGTTGGATGAGGAGATGGAGGACTAGGGATCTTGGGCCTGTGTGCAAGCAAATGACAGTTTTTGAGTGGCATCCGAAAGCGCCCGTTGCTGTTGTGCTTCGTCGTGTGCGCTGCCCCCCCCCCCCCGGCCTCTCTCCCTCGTGTGGTGTCTCCCTCGCGTGGTGTGGGCTGGCTTTGCTGACCATGCTGCGCCTCTAAAATTGGGCTGCTGCAGCTCAAGTCGAGCAAGGCGCGAAGGACTCAAGGGTCCAATGCGTGGATGATCAGACATGGGCTCCCGCACGGAGAGAGAGAGAGAGAGAGAGAGAGAGAGCAGACGATTCGAGGCACGGAGCAAAGTACAAGGGTAGAATGAGAGGCAGCTAGGGCGTGGAAAGGGGGGATTGGAACGCAGAAAGAGGGGCACAAATGGCCCAACGTCGGTCGGGCGTAGAGGCGAGCAGTTGAAGGGGGGGGCAAAAGGGTGTGTTGCAGCTCGCGCTCGCGCTACGCTACGCTACGCTACGCTACGGCTCTCCCTCTGCCTCTCCCTCTCCCTCTCTCTCTCGAGAGACCTCTCTCTCTCTCTCATGCAGTGTTGCGCAGCACCAGCACCACCGAGTCGCCGCGGAGGAAGACCTTTGAGAGGAAGCGGTCCTTCTGCCAAACGGCGCAGGCATGAACGAAGAAGGAGCCGCGGGGGGGGGAGAGAGAGAGAGAGAGAGAGATCGCGTCAGCAAAGATGAGAGCATGCGGTGTCAGGAGACGGGGGAAAGGAAGGAGGGAGGAGGGGAGGAGCGAGGAGCGAGGAAAGACAGAGGATGAAACGCACGTTGACTGGCTTCTTGTTCTTGCTCTTGGGCTGTTGGAGAGAGAGAGAGGAGAGGGGTCAGTATGTGTTTCAGTTTGCCCCACGAAGGGGAGAACAAGAGTAAGGAGCTGAGAAGGGGGGAGGGGGGGCAAAAAGGCAAACGCACGATTTCTGTCCACATCTGTTTTCGTAGCGAGGGAGGGAGGGGAGGGGGGCAGGGAGAAGAAGAGGGACGTGGATGGTTGTGTGTGTGTCAGCAAAGACGCGGATCGGGACGAGAGAGAGAGAGAGAGAGAGAAGGCGACAACGCAGCTACCAAAGAGCGCAATTGCAGCGCGGGCTTTGCAGCGTGCCCCACCCCCCCCCCCCCCCCCCCCCCCCCCCCCCCGCGTCCCCTCCGCTCGCTTCCT